AAAAGCACTTGGATACTGCAGAACTGGATGCAAACTGTCAGCTGATCACATTATAAAATTGTTATGTGTGGTTTTGTGGGGAGGGGGCCACACAACCCAATGCTCCCCTTAACACACATAAGCACACACTGCATATATGGAAATTGTACATCTGGAAGGCTTCTAAGATTAATTTATTTTTAAATAAACTTTTGTGCCACTTTTCTTTTTTTAAAAAACCCCTGTACTGCTTATTTTCTCCATCCTCCCGGAGCTACTGCTGTTGCGACTCCTTGTGTTTTCTTAAGGTTTTGACCCCCACTCCCTGAAAATAATCTCCCTTGATTATTTATAATCACATTAAATGTGATTCTGTTAGCTGTCTTGGGTCTTAGGAAAGAGGGGTGTTGGACGGGGGAGAGCCTAAGTCTTTTAATTTTATTCCGTTTCACTTTTAATTTGTATACCAACTTTCTATGCACAAAGAGGTTTACAAGCTGCAAAAGCAAGAAAATGGCAACAAGGATCACACTTGTAATAACCCCCTGATCTTATACAAAAAGACACAATAACTGAAAAACAAACAACTTATATCAAATAAAGCAATATTCAATAATCCATTAGTATAGTAAACAGTAAAATTAAACATCAGCAAATAATAATTCAACAGTTAACACTTATCTATTATCAATTATTATTATTATTATTATTATTATTATTATTATTATTATTATTATTATTAATACCCTGCCCATCCGGCTGGGTTTCCGCAGCCATTCTGGACAGCTCCCAACAGATTAAAAACAGAATAAAACATCAAACATTAAAAACTTCCCTAAACAGGGCTGCCTTCAGATGTCTTCTAAAAGTCAGATAGTTGTTTATTTCCTTGACATCTGATGGGAGGGGTGCCACCACCGAGAAGGCCCATTACAATGAAGAATTACTAAACTATAATCAACAAAAATAACATCAAGTCACAATGAATGAAATGCTGCAGAACATACAAAGCGCGTGAAAGGATCCAACTGATCCAACAATTAATGTATAAATAAGTGGTACCTCAGGGTAAGAACGGTTTCAGGTTAAGAATGGACCCCTGGAATGAATTAAGTTTATAACCAGAGGTACCACTGTATTTCTTAATTTAAAGGTTGCATGGTGCACATCCATGTATACTGGGGGTGGGAAAGGCCAGGAAGATTTTGAGCACCTGTGTGGTAGGGGCTACTGATTTTTTAAAAAGAAAAAGATAGGTGCCAAATGGCTCCTTAAACCAGGGTTGCAGTCACCAAAATGGAATGTCTAGTTGCCATTTCAGGGCAAGACGGCTCTCAAGTCTTATTTTTCAAAGGATGGACTGACTGTGATTGATTCTCTGGCTAGTTCAGGTGACAACCTTGAGCTGGGTCAAGAGCTTTTGAGAACTTCAAGAAGAAAAGTCATTTGATCCAGGGACAGTCCACATATATATTGGCCTATTCCGACCTCCTTTTCTTAATGCTGACTGCTCCTGTTCAGGCTGCACAGAACAAGCAATTTGTGTTGCAGAAATCCATTCCGATTGTGCAGATAAAATATAGCTGGTAGAATTCCAAAGGGTGGTGTGTGTGTGTGTGTGTGTGTGTGTGTGTGAGAGAGAGAGAGAGAGAGAGATATCCAGATCCAATGACCCCCAAATAGTGAAGACGTCAGGTGCCATCTTAGCACCCAGGCATCTTCTCTTAGTCATAAGTGGTCGAAAGCCAGGTGTAGAATGAAACCATTCACATTACAAAAACTACCATTGAGGTATCAAAAATTTCAAAAGGAGGGGGTTCATGGCTTGGCATTTTAAAAACAGGGGGTCTGCAGCACTTAGCTAATTGGGAACCGCTGCTCTAAGCAGTGTCTTTTTTCGGGGGGGGGGGTGGCAGCTCAGGGTTACTCATACCCCTAAATATTTTCTGAATCTGATGGTGAATTCATTTCCTTTCCCAGTGATTTTCTTGAGTCAAAGTGAGAGTACCCAGTGGCGTCACAATGGGGGGGCCATGGGGCGGTGCGCCCCGGGTTCCATGTCTGCGGGGGTGACAAGAAGTCACTCCACAGGGGCTCGTGCCAGTATGAGCAACCATCGCATCACCGCAGCTGCATGTGGAGGATCCTCCATTCATGGCTGCAGCCGTGAGCAGAGGATCCTGGTGCCGGCGCCAAACCACTAAGTACAGCGCATGTGCAGCGTTGCATGCATGCACTGTACATAGCGACACCGCACATGCACTGTATAGCAGTTTGCCGCCGGTGCCGCTCCAGCACCGTCCATATGATGCTGGGATTCCTCTGTTGCCGCTACAGCCGTGAGCAGAGGATCCCGGCACTGTCTGTATGGCGCTGGAGCGGCGCTGTCGGCAAACCGCTATACAGCGCATGTGCGGTGTCACTATGTACGGTGCATGCGTCGTGTGTAGTGACGCCACATATGTGCCCTATGTAGCGACGCCCGCCCTGGGTGTCACAACACCTTCCTTTACCCTTGAGAGTACCTCTAAACATTTTAGGAAAAAAAGCACTGGCTCTAAGCCATTTTCAAAAAAAAAAATGTAATTGGTTAAAACGATAAGATCAGTTGAAATACCCACTGGAATAGTCTTCAGTAGGGTGCTGGAAGTTCGGGGGGGGGCTCTCTGACCTCTGACCTCAACTGGAAGGCAGTTCCATATAATAGGGACCCCAATAGCTCGTCCCCCATAAACTGCCTAAAGGTAAAGGTAAATGGACCCTTGACCGTTAGGTCCAGTCGTGAATGACTCTGGGGTTGCGACGCTCATCTCGCTTTATTGGCCGAGGGAGCCGGCGTACAGCTTCCGGGTCATGTGGCCAGCATGACTAAGCCGCTTCTGGCAAACCAGAGCAGCACACGGAAACGCCGTTTACCTTCCCACCGGAGCGTTACCTATTTATCTACTTGCACTTTGACGTGTTTTCGAACTGCTAGGTTGGCGGGAGCAGGGACCAAGCAACAGGAGCTCTCCCCGTTGCGGGGATTCGAACCGCCGACCTTCTGATCAGCAAGTCCTAGGCTCTGTGGTTTAACCCATAGCGCCACCCGTGTCCCTATATAAACTGTCTAGCCACTGGCATTTTGCACAAGCTGGAACCTCCACACCGGGCGCCAGGGTAGCCCCACACAAAGTGCATTGCAGTAACCAAGGCTGCCATTTGATCAGCATAGGACCTGGCTTGACTCGCTTCCTTGAGTTACCTGCTCCGCACACATGAAGTCCTCTTCTTGCTTTTATGGCGCAGTTGTCTAGCTTAGATTGTGCCCTGATCTGCGGAGACCTGATATGATGCTATTGATTGGTGGCTGGGGACTTGTAAGCACATGTAATAGCTGTGCAACTTAGATGTTTTCTCCCGCTCTGCCCAGAAACTTTTTAATTTCAAGAGTTGGCAAATGTACCAATAACCACCCCCTAAAACAAAACAGTTGACGTACGTATTTGCAGAGGCTCTTAATTGCATTGACTGGAGGTGGGAACATAGCCGAGGTATTAATTAAGCTAATACTCATTTCATAGATTTTGCCCTGTCCAGTTTGGGACTACTGCACCAATCATATTAAAAAATAAAATTTCTGTAGAACTTCAGGATTCTCTGTACACTGAAACATATCACAGATTCAGCTACCAGGTGGCAAAGGTGGATGAAACCAGAATAACAGATTTGGAATGAAAGATGGAACATGTGGGATTAGGAACCAAGTGTAAAGCCAAGCTGGCTGTGCCTAATATAACCTTAATATCACCTGCAAACTCCAAAATTTCTTTTTCCCTCTCCCCAACCCAATCCAATATTTTACTCAAAGTAGCGTCCATGCACTAATAATGCAAACAACTCACTTTTTGCAAAAAAAACAACAACAACAACACAACACGTGTAGAACAAGTGGCTATTTTTACAGCCTCCAAATTCACAAGGTTCTCCTTGCAGCTGTCTCAGCCAGAAGCTGCAAAAACAACACACACACCCTTTTTTAAAAGCTCCTGCAGTTTCTGAAGTCAAAAGACACTCTCTCCTGACCTGTTAGGACCCAATCGGACTGGGGAGAAAAACACCACCAGCAGTATTTCTGAAAAGCATAAATATCACCTGATTTTATAAAATGGGTCACAAAAATAAACAGCACATGGACAAACACAAATGCGGTTGACACGTTTTCCTGGAACAAAACCTAAGGATTTGCTTGAAGTTGTGAAAAGATCCAAGGTTTCTTTGACTCTCCCAATATACTGTATCATTTTAATTTTTCATTCAGAAACAGAGGCTCCAAAATTCAGCAGGGGGGAAAACAACAGCACGTAATTATAAAGGAACACCTCCTACCCAGCACCTCTGCTGGCAAAACCTCTAGCAAAATTCAAAACAGAATGCATGAGATTTAACCGAATGGTCCAGTTTGTTATATTTAAACACACAAGCGACCCAAATAATCTTGCGGAGAAGACTGCTGGGAGAGAGGTGGGCTGAACGTTAAGTCAGTGAAATCTGTAACGCAGGGCAAATGTTTTTGCCACCCTGGCTGCAAAATCTCCATCAGATGCACGCCGGGTGGAATTTACCCCAACCCACACATTCTTTCTGCAGCTCTAAAAATGCAACTTGAGATCAGGCCAGGCCGAACCACCCCCTAACCATTCAGCCATGGGGGGTGGGAGTGGGGGGTCCGAAATCATCAAAAGTTGCAGAGTTGAGCTGCAATGCAAAGCAAGCCCGCCCACGCAACCCTCCTCCCCTGCAAAAAACAACAACAACACACACACACACACACACACAAAATCCATTTGCAAAACTTCGAACACCAAGAAGCAACAAAAGAATCAGATTGTTCCCAATTGTAATGCGCGCTTGGCAATGCATCTTGCTCAAAGGAGTTTCGAAACATTTCAAATACAAAATAACCAACAAATACATACATATGTATACTGTATATATTTAAAGCAGTAACACATTTAAGTAGGTAGATAGAATGAACTCACCAATAGAAGGGAGGGAGAGGTTCGCAGAGCCACTTTTAACTAAGAATGAATTGGGGACAAACTCTTCTTCAGAGTCAGAGTCCTGAGTTGGCTGGGCCACCCCATTGCCTAGCAACCTCCTCTGGCTCTCATTGGCTGGCGGGGAGGGGGGAGGGGAGGGGGTTTGCTCAATAGGGGTTGATGAAGCAGATGAACAATGCAAGGGAGGACCTGTTAAACACAAAACACAAAACACAGACAGAAAATAAATAACTGAAAATTGCAACCCAAAAAAGGAAAACAGAAGAAGGAAGGGAAACACCAGGACAACGGGGAGGGGCACACACAAAGATACATCAAACAAACACACACCAAAAAAAACATGCACAGAGACGCAGATAACTTCTTAGCAAAGCCTACGCGAGGAATCACCATTTGCAAACACTGTACACTGAGCACAATTGGGGCTGCCCCCTTGCGAAGGAGAAGATCCCATGCAATCCACTGGAGGAGATGACCTCTGAATAAATGCACACAGATGCATAAGGCATTCAGGTGTAGTCTTGATTAAGCAGGGATTAAATAACAAGGGGAGTCCTGCCGTTTTCAGACATTGGTTAGAAAGCTCTTGAGTTTCCTGTTTCAGGGGTGGGGAGGAAGGTTCTTGTCATTTTAAGCAGCCGGCCGGAGAGGGAATCTAAGAGTATTGAGGCTGGATTTAATCATACATCGCTGCGATTTCTAAGCCTAGCGATCATGCCCTCCGAGGAGGAGACGGAAGGTTGCACCAGCAGGCGATTGCATGATGAAACTGAGCCGTAACAGATAAGGAGCAAAAGTCAATCGAACATCAAGAGAGAGGGTGCTTTGGAGTGCGGAATGCTAGGGATGGAGAGATGCTTCGTTGGGTATCATTTGATGAGAGGGTCCTTCTCCTTGCCTGAAGGGAAGGAAGGGGCTTGCCCCAGTGGCACAGCTGGAAAGGGCTGCAGCTCAACAGAGCATCTGCTTTCCATGGGGGGGGGGAGGTCCCAGGTTCACCCCCCTCCAAACGTCCAGATATAGGACTGGGAATCCTGCCTGCCTGAGATCTTGCAGAGCTGCTGCCAGTCAGTGCCAATGATGCTCAGCCAAATGGACCAATTCTCTGACTCAGTGTATAAAGGTAAAGGGACCCCTGACCATTAGGTCCAGTCGTGGCCGACTCTGGGGTTGCGGCGCTCATCTCGCTTTACTGGCTGAGGGAGCTGGCGTTTGTCTGCAGACAGCTTCTGAGTCATGTGGCCAGCATGCTAAGCTGCTTCTGGCGAACCAGAGCAATGCACGGAAACACTGTTTACCTTCCTGCCGGAGCAGTACCTATTTATCTACTTGCACTTTGATGTGCTTTCGAACTGCTAGGTTGGCAGGAGCAGGGACAGAGCAACGGGAGCTCACCCCGTTACGGGGATTCGAACTGGCAACCTTCCGGTCGACAAGTCCTAGGCTCTGTGGTTTAACCCACAGTGCCACCCTGGTTCAGTGTATGGCAGCTCCCAATGTTTCTGCGACACACGGCAGGATTGGAAAGAAAGGGAGCTCAACAAATCTTTGTTATTTCCATAGCATACAGGTGTGGCCAACACATAACTCTGTCTGCCATGGCTTCATTTACACACGCAGCCACCACGCTGGACCCAGAAAATATAAAATTTGCCACCCAACCGGGGGCCTCTGGCAGAGAAGAAGGTTTCCTGTCAGTATTTTTTTGCAGGCACAAAATGGGATAATAGGTTTTATTGCAGTTAAAGTGGATTAAAGCACTCTTGTCTCCCTGGTGCAATAAATCCAGTTTTTTTTTATTTTGAAAAAAAAAGTTGTATTTGGAAACTGATGGGGGAAATGTACTGAAAAGCGTAGGATGGTGTAATAATTAACAGGAAGGTGCATAAACATCCCACATTCAAATCACTGTCATATGACCTCTCCACAAACAAATCCTCAATAGAGATGGGCACAGAACCCATTCTGCTAATTCTCTGAGGTTGAAAGTATCCAACAAAGTAAAATCAAACACACAGAAAAAATTCACAGTAACTCATTTCTTAAAACAACTGGATCATCGCCGCTTGCAGGCTAAAACGCAGCATTAAAAAAAATGAAGCCCTCAGAACCAGGGCTAACCATTTATAAAAGTAATCAACAGGAGAATCAAAGGTTTGTTTTTTAAAAGGAAAGTCTTTAAACACTAGCGGAACATAGATGAAGAGGGAGAGGGCTAGGTTAGTTATAACATTTTCATTTTTTAAAAGTTTAGGAGTAGGTGAGATTATTATTTATCTTAGTAACTGGATTTTCCTATTCTATTCTAATCTGAAAATGTTGCCTCCGTTTCCCAGCTTTTAAAAACTTTATACTTATTATCATAATTTATCATCATTGAAAGCTAGATGCTCCTATTTTGTTTTGGTTTGTGTATACATATATAGTATGTTATTTACTAGTAATGGTTTGTTTGTTTGTTATTAAAGAGTTTGATGCAAATGTAAAAGTTTGATTTTTAAATAAATAAATGGGAAACAAGTTAATCTTCTGGAGCAGGGAGCAATTTTTCCTATTGCCCATTGTTATTAGTACTATTTATTTATTTCTTAAGTGTGTCCTTTTTGGGGGGGGTTTCCCTCCATTCATATCTCGCTGCTGCCTGAAAGGCAGGATTTGTGCAGCAAATTACATCTGAGGATTTTGCAGAATCTACAGGAACCATAGAGTCATAAGAGTTGAAGGGATCCCAAGGGTCATCTAGACCAACCCCCTGTAATGCAGGAAATCTACACCCTGTGTGTGTGCACATGTTTATTTGTGTGCCTCTGTGGGTGCCCTCTTATGATCTGTGGCCACCCTGGGATCTTGGAAACTCCAAAACTAGCCTCAACAGAACATGGCAATTTGGCTGCAAAACCTGCCCCAAGCACCATGCACATGTTTTAGTCTGGTTGTCACAGGCACCTAGCAGTCCATAATTGCACACTTCGCTGCACACCCCATAGTGATTTTTGAACTGTTTCCAACCTTTTGAGTGGGTGCATATCTGCATGAAAGAGGGAGAAGAAGAAGAAGAGTTTGGATTTGATATCCCGCTTTATCACTACCTGAAGGAGTCTCAAAGCGGCTAACAATCTCCTTTCCCTTCCTCCCCCACAACAAGCACTCTGTGAGGTGAGTGGGGCTGAGAGACTTCAAAGAAGTGTGACTAGCCCAAGGTCACCCAGCAGCTGCATGTGGAGGAGCGGAGACGCGAACCCGGTTCCCCAGATTACGAGTCTCCCACTCTGCAGTTTGGCTTAGTTTAAAGATAAAAAAGGTTCCTGTTGTTGCAATTGATAGCTTCCCCCTAAATCAGGGGTAGGCAAACTAAGGTCCGGGGGCCAGATCCGGCCCAATCGCCTTTTCAGTCCAGCCCGCAGACAGTCTGGGAATCAGCGTGTTTTTACATGAGTAGAATGTGTGCTTTTATTTAAAATGCGTCTCTGGATTATTTGTGGGGCATAGGAATTTGTTCATTTCCCCCCTCCAAAATATAGTCCGGCCCACTACATGGTTTGAGGGACGGTGGACTGGCCCCCTGCTGAAAAAGTTTGCTGACCCCTGCCCTAAATGTAACTTCAGCATGGGAGATAATCTGGAGTGAATTAAGCCTTCCCGCTCTGTTTGCTGCAGTCCTGATAAAAACTGCCTCCCCACAGGGCAGGTAGACCACAGCTCTTGTGGCTAGTAGCCACTAGGTGGATAAGAAAAGCTCAAGAGATCCAGCACTTAGCCGACACTCATGATGCACAGAGTTTCTTTAAAGCCACAAAGACCATCTGTGGGCCAATAAATCATGGCACATGCCCCCTACACTCAGCAGACGGTACCACACTTCTAAAAGATAAAGAAGCTATTGCACTGCACTGGAAAGAACATCACCAGCATCTCCTGATCTCCCGTAGCTGCTGATGGAAGACAATCTTACTCAGCTTCGAGGGATCGCCAAAGAAGACGAAGAAGAGTAGCCATTCATAGCCATATTCAGGGCCAGCCCTTGCATGAGGCAAAGGGAGGCAATGGCTTCAGGCGGCAGAATCCACAGGGGCAGCAGATCTAGTTGTTGACATTTATTTCTCCCCTTGTTCCTGAAGTAGTAGATCTTCACTCACTCCTGCGTCCCAGGCGGGGAGGGGGGCACCCATTCCTTCTACATTTCGGGTGCCGAAATGTCTTGCTATGGCCACATCCTCCATGAATTTATCGAATCCCCTTTCGAAGCCGTCCAGGTTGCATTAGTGCATTTAATCTGATGCAATTTTCTTCACAAGCTGTTTTTGGACTACAACTCCCATCATCCCTAGCTAACAGGACCAGTGGTCAGGGATGATGGGAATTGTAGTCCCAAAACAGCTGGAGCGCCAAGTTTGGTCACCACTGCCTTAAGGTAAAGGTAAAGGGACCCCTGACCATTAGGTCCAGTCATGACCGACTCTGGGGTTGCATGCTCATCTCGCTTTATTGGCCGAGGGAGCCGGCGTACAGCTTCCGGGTCATGTGGCCAGCATGACTAAGCCGCTTCTGGCGAACCAGAGCAGCGCACCGAAACGCCATTTACCTTCCCGCCAGAGTGGTACCTATTTATCTACTTGCACTTTGACATGCTTTCACACTGCTAGGTGGGCAGGAGCTGGGACAGAGCAACGGGAGCTCACCCCGTCGCAGGGATTCGAACCGCTGACCTTCTGATCGGCAAGCCCCAGGCTCTGTGGTTTAACCCACAGCGCCACCCACGTCCCTACCACTGCCTTAGGACACCCCTATTTTCATAGGAGAAGTGTATGGAGTTATGTGACCCCCTGAGCCAAGGGGATAAGTAACTCTACAATCTTTAGAAGACATCTGAATGCTGCACTGTGTAGGGGAGTTTTTTGTTTTTTAAAGTTAATGTTTTATTATGTTTTTCTATATGTTGCAGTCTGGCCAGAGTGGCTGGGACAACCCAGTCAGATGGATGGGGTATTATTATTATTATTATTATTATTATTATTATTATTATTATTAATGATGCCCCTATTTTCATCAGAGAACAACCAACAACCACTGCAGGGGAGACCAGAGATCACTGGACCAGTGTCCTGTTGCCACAGCAACAAACCAGAGATGCCTACAGGAAACAGAACCATGTGTGTCACAGCAGTCAAGTTCTGAGCACAGCACCACTC